TATCTCTTTCTTCATGGCCGCCTCCCAGAAAACCTTGTACTTGGAACACATCACATCCTTGTACGTCATCGGTACTGCTTCCACATCACTCGGCTTCTGCCCGATTGGCGAGGTCATACTTAGCTGTGGGTCTGGGAGTGGTTGCGAAGTCCCGCTGGCGTCGACCTCAGCCCCGAACGCCTGCTGTTCCGGGCCCAACACTTCCTGCATCTCCACCTGTACATCTCCTCCATACGGCGTGTCTGCTCCTCGTCCCACTGCTCCTTCACAAGCGAGTTGCAGATGTAGTCCTCAACAATCCCCGTCCCGCCAGTTTCCATGATGGTCGCCAGCAGTGCCTCTTCCGGGTCCGGTGTTTCTGCGGGCCCCGGCATCTCCCCGGCACCTGGCATCTCCCGGGTCTGCTTCCGCGTGCGGCCACTCTCAAGCCCATGGCGCAGCGGGCCAGCGTTCGAGGCGCCCCAGAGGAGTTTCTTCCCTTCTAGCCCGCGGGGGTAGCGGTCGTCGGCTGGATCATACTTTAACTCCTCGAGGTTCTCGGAGTCGCCGGGATCACCATCGCTACCGCCGTCCCTACCTGTGTCGCCGGACTCTTCGCCGCCCGGGCCGCCGGCACCGCCGGCGTCACTGCTGCTGCTGCTGCTGCTGCTGCTGCTGCTGCTGTCGGTGGGGCTGTCACTGCCTCCGCCGAAGTCGCCCCTTCCCGAAGGGGGCGACGGGGAAACGCTGCCTCCGTCCCCCGTTGCCGGGTGCCATCGGCGCCTCCTCGCGCACAAACGGCGTCGCTTGCCGTGGCCCACGAGCCGCCATCACGTCGAGGTCTGACTCACTCTCTGAGTCTCTCTCCCCCCCCCCCAACCTTGGGGTGATGCATCCGCTCTGCTCTCGACCTCCCCGCCCTCCTCATCTGCGAGAGATAGCAGCTGCGGGAGAGCGGGCGATGCAGCGGGCACGTGACGCCAGGCGCCAGGAACACACGAATACACAAAGAGGTTTAATTCAAACAGATTTTTCTGAGATGGTAGAGAAGAGCAAAGATTGAAAGAAAAGTTGTCAAATACGGAAAACGTTAAGCATGACGAAGAATAAAGGTCGGGAAAAGTGCCGATGAAGCGCGTTAGGTGGGTAATTGTAACCTGCACAACTAAACATAGGTCGCGCTCCTGTGTGATGGTACACAACAGCAGTAGATTCACGCCGATAGCAACTCCTCTCAATATAGACCGCAAATGTACATGCTGCTGTAGGGTTACTCTACACGCCTCGCCGAGTAGAGCAAAGAGAGCATGTTTGATGTGTACGTTTGAAGTGAGGTATCATGGAATACTTCGTAGCTGTGTGAGTTGCGCGTTTCCAGCAACTGCTGTTCACACGCAGCTGCGCATCAATGGAAACAATAAGACGGTAGGTATGCATCTGGTACTGCTGTGGCTGTGCATTGCCCACAGCGCGTGAGCAAGGAGGAGGCTAGTTCTTTGTTCTGCGTACGACCCCGTGTCATCACCGTAGACCAGGCAGTGTGGTCGGTCCCGCTGGCACGATATGAACTGTAACAATAGTCTCGCTATTATCTCATCACTCCAACACGTTGGTACGCAAGGGAGGCTACCTCAGAACTCCCACCTCAACATGCGACAGAAGTAACGCAGTAGCAGCGGCAGAGGAGGAAGCGGAAGGCCCTACAGGCAGGCGCTCTACCGACCAACTGACGCATACTAGACAGACGAAATTCGATCACGTGTGGAGAGATTATTCGACTAGTGTCAGCACCATTGGAGGCACCGTCGGACTCGCGCACGTCCATGCTGTACCTTGTGCAAGCGGTGCATGTTTGGACAGTAAAATAAAGTTTTCATGGTCACACAGGTCGCCCATGAATCAGTTTTTGACCTGGGGTTGTCAGGCAATGCGGCACAAGTTATGTACCGCAGCAGCATGTACCAGTACCCTCCGCAAACGTGGTATGAGGTCATCACACGTTGTGTCTTCTCGAGTTTCTTTGTGTCGTATCGTCCTTTTTTCTGTGTTGGTACGCAATACACCCACCATGCTCTCACCTCCGCGGAACCCCTAGCCCCCCGCCTCGCACCAACCTCGTTGCATTTGCCCACCCCACCCAACCCCCCCCCCCCCC